TAAACATCGTACAAAGCCTCCCCTGTGCTGTTCCTCACTGGCAGCCTGAAAGTAGAGTCATGTGTTACCAGGAGGGGCTGGGGCCCAGAAATGGGTATACAGTATATCTTTGACTTCGATTCAATAGTCTTACGGCTGAGTGGTCAGCAGATCTTTCCGTCAGAAGATCTGGGCTTACTCTGTCTACACATTCTCTGCCCCGTGTGCCATAATAAGGGCAAAATCAGGGCACCATCGTCTCCACAGCATTTCTGGCTCTGCAAAGCACTAGCTGGGTGGCTTTGGCTAGAACAGGACATCTCTCCGGGTATCTGTCTTGTCATTTACATAACAACAGGTTTAGACTAGGGGGATCTCCAAACTGTCTTTGAAGCACAAAAGTCCCATGGGTACCAGGGACCTCCTCAAGCCTCATTTTTCTCATCTTTAAAACCTCACCTTCATAGGATGTGGTGAAGTGGGCGGAACAGTTCTCAGTGTACCTGAACACACAACATAAACATCAGCTATTGTCATTGTTATTAAAATTCTTTATGCAGCACTCTCCTTTCAAAGCGTGCTCATGTCTTTTACCATTTGTTCTCGAGAGTAATTCATCAGCCCCAAGACAGAATGGCTCATAAACTAATGTCACCCATGAGTACTGTTCTTCAATCAATCAATCATGTAAATGAGACTTAGTGGTCAACATTTCCCCTAGACCAGCAGTTCTCATCCTGTGGGTTGCAACCCCTTTGGGGGTCGAATGACCTTTTCACAGGGGTCGCCTAAGACCATCAGAAAGCACATATTTCCAATGGTCTTAAGAACAGACACCGCTCCTCTATCCGTTTCCAGGCCGGTCCGCCCATGTGCAGATACGCCCACAGATGAGTACCCAGCGTGAAGACTGTGACCCTAGGCTATACCATGCTTGAAGACAAAATTTCATTTATTTGTATTGTAATTAGAAATAAATAGTTCACCATATAGAATTACATATTGTTTTCATGATGAATCACTATGCTTTCATTATGTTCAATTTGTAATAATGAAAATACATCCTGCATATCATATATTTACATGACGATTCCTAACAGTAGCAAAATGACAGTGAGGAAGTAGCAATGAAAATAATTTTATGGTTGGAGGTCACCACAACATGAGGAACCGTATTATAGGGTCGCAGATTAGGGAGGTTGAGAACCACTGCCCTGGACCAAAGATGAAAAGGGGCGGAGGATGGTGGCGGGGATGCGGAGGAGAGAGGTCAAGGAAGCCAGACTAATGGAAATACAACAGCCAGGATGGCAATCATGAGCATGCTCACACATTGTGAAAAGTGTTAACTCATGTCACTGAACAGTATGTATAGAAATTCTGAAATGAGAACTGAATTTGCTAATACTTTTTGCTCCAAGTAAAAAGAGCAATTTGACGTCATGCAGGGATTCATTTATTGTCACTGAAGTTGTTGCAAATGGCAGCAGCATCTGAATGTTCTGTGGAAGGAAGTGGGCTCAACCCACTCTCAGTCCTGCAGAGATGATCTCTTTTCAGTCTCTTTTCAGGGCATGAACAGTGCTTACTAGGAAACTCTTGTCACGTGGGGCTTTGCTCACAGAATAAACCGGCCTTGGCGAGTTCCAAGGGCAATACTAGTCATTGCAGGTGCTTGCCTTTTACCTTTCATCTGTGCATTTCCAAGTAACTTACACCACATTAGCTTATTGGCTACTCTCAGCCCTGGAGCAGCCATCACTCTTGGCTTTGTGCAGGAGGCAGTGGATGCTATCTGAGCTTTGGCTTCAGAGAGAGTCCTTGGGTTGAGAGCCACAGGGCCCCTGTCTAGCAGTGGTGGTGCCATCTGAATACCTTACCTTGCATCACAGTGTCGGGACTGGAATGCCTCCCTAGAGACCTCTCCCAGAATTCCTCTGTAATCCCCTTGAAAATGATTGTGGTAAGATCTAATTAAATAGTTGTCATTCTTAACATTTTTAGGTGTGCAGTTGGGGACATTAATTACATTCACCATGTTGTGTTACCCTGGCCACTACACAGGTGCAAACTTCCTACATCGGTCCAAACAGAACCTCTGTACCCCTTAAGCAATAACTCCTGTGCCCACTCTTCATCACCTCTTGGAACCCACGGCTGTCTGTACATCTTCATGGGAGCAGATCGCTTCCTCTTTCTGCTGCAGAGTGGCCCATGGGTTTGAACCACCCACCTTGTGGTTAAGCAGCCCACCCCCCAGCCCACAGTGCCACCAGGGCTCCATCCCAAGTCCTGGCAGTTACTAATAAACTTTGGTCTCTCTCTGTTGGCCTATTCTAGATATTTCATATAAGTGGGATCATATAATATTTCCCCTTTTGATAATATTTATTTAACCTAGCAGAATGTTTTTGAGGCTCATCCATGTTACACAGCATATATCAGAATTTTATTTCTCTATAAGACTGAATAGTATTCCATTGTCTGCATGGGGGTGAGGGGTTTCAAAAAGTTCATAGCAATATGGAGTTGAATTGTACATTTTGAGTTACTTTTCATGTATCTTTCAATTCCATTTTTTCCATAATACATTTGGAGCTCCTTCATATGGTATGAGGTATGGGTCCAACATCATCTTTTGACTTTTTGCATGTAGAGATTCAGTTTTCGGATCACTATTTGTTGAAGAGACTATTCATTCTCCATTGAATCAACTTGGTGTGATTGTCTAAAATCAATTAGCCAAGGAAGTATAGTCCACACTCCTTTTCCAGTGCAGGAAATGGAGGCATTCAATTGAGGCCCAGGGAAGGGAAGGGAAGGGAAATAGCCAAACCAAGGCAGCTAGTTAGGGACATGGTCAGTAACTTGTCTGAAGGAGAAAAGAGAAAATAAAAACTACTCCCCCCACACACAATCATCCCTTCCCTCTATACACTTATAGACCAAACCATACTCCAATACCGTGTGTGTCTCTCTAGACATCTCAAGAGTGCCGAAACCCAGGGAGCAGGAAGAAAATGAGGTATATATATAATGTCTATCTGATCACACAGCATAGAATTTCTGTTTCCACTCTGAGACAATGTTCTGGGCAACTCTGGTGGCTCTTCCTTTCCTTAGTTCCTGGAATGGGTCATTCCTGGAATGGGTCATTCTTAAAAAGAAATGGAAGTTGCAATTTCATCATTCTGGATAAATGAGTTCAGGAGGATGGGTTCTTTCTTTTCCCCTTATCTAGCACCTAGATTAACACAAGCCCAAAGGCAAAGGGTTTCAGAAAACAGAAAGTCAGCGTTACGGGCATTTATAACTGAAATGAAGCCTGGACAGAGCCAGGCTTCAGACAAGACCTAACCTAAAGTAGAATAATGTGTTTTTGCCAAGAACACAGCTGGAATAGCTCCATGCTTTTCACAGAATAGGCGCTCAATAAATACTTGTGGATTGATTTGGCAAGCAAAAATTCTTGGCATTTGGATCCTTTTCTGTTTTCAGCTTTAAAAAGGTAAAACATATATATAAATGTGTAGCTACAAAGGCACAGGTGGCCACGTCTGTTACAATGGAAAGAATCTTGGTGACAGTGTCTGTCCACTATAGTCCATCATTTTACAGACTGATTTCTAAGCTGCACTGACCCTGAGCTTTCCTGTGAGTGTGTGTGTGTGTGTGTGTGTGTGTGTGTGTGTAGGTTTCCACCTCCAAAGAAGTTGTGGAAACATTGCTGAGTTTCCCACCCACTACCCAAGATTCATAAAACACATTAGCTTATTAAAGATACTGAGAAGAGTTGGGGTTAAAGTGACAGTTTTAGCTTTGTTGAAACAAGCTCTTTCCAAATCTCCCTCCTTTTTAAATTTTTGCCTGACATTCATTAAAGTTCCACAAAATTCATGCTATTTGGAAAATACGGATTGAGCCCAATCTCTGACATGAACTAGTGAAAAGAGGTCCTGAGAGGGCCAGCAGTTCTCCTCTGTTCTCTCCAATAATCTGTGACTGGCTCCTTTTCCCACCCACCCTTCTCTTTCCTCTTTCCTCCTTCCTCTTCCCTGGCCCTTTCCTCTGTCTCCTTGCCACTGACCTCCTATAACTCCTGCTAGCTATTTCCCTTTGAAGGGTTCTTTATGGGGTAAGATTTCACATACATCCCCCCATCATCTCAATCATCATCGATTGTGTCTGGCTTCTTGGGACCTACTTTCAGCAATACCAGTCTGGTTGAACATGACTGACAAGTTCTGGCCACTCTCCGTCCAGATATGGGGTTCTAGTCCTAGCCCCTCTACTGACTACTTTCTTCGGTGAGCACTCGGTGATTTAGAAAGACATTAGCCACAGAGTGGAGCCAGGAAGAAAGCAGGAGAGAACGGCGATAGGGGCAGAAGGAGAGAACGTAACCACGGTTCAGAAGCCCAGCTTTGAGCTCGTCGTGGAGAGTCCAGAATGTGTGGGTTTGAATCCCGTGGCCTGGTTAGCCGTAATTAGCAACGGGACTTCAAAGAGGAGTTGAGCCTGTTGCAACATCTGTGAAATGGGAGTTATTTCCAAGGGTGGAGAGCCTTGACCTCGGGAATGTTCTTCACAGCGGGAGCTGTGGCGTGAGCAGGGGTCAGCTGGTGGGGTTTCGGGCATCTGGGGTGTGCAGGCAATAAGGCAAGTAGGAAGTCTAAAGGCATGGGTGAGCACAGTTTGCAGACCGTCTCGTGTGGGGAATGGGTGAGCTGTCAAGTTTAACTCAGCCTGTTTCCATTCACTGTACCTCCCCCATCTCAGCTCCCTGGTCCCCGCTCCCCTCCTACTCCACCCCTCTGGAGCTCACGCGCATGCGCTCTCCGGCGCCCCTACACAGCTTTCCACGTTTCACTTCCCTCACGTCTCCGCCTCCGCGCCTGTTACCTCGCTACGATTGGCCAGCCGACCTCTACGTCTTGGCCAATCAAAGTAGCCCCCTCGCCCCCGTGTTACTGGGTAGAACAAAACAAAAACAAACAGAGCGAGAGGGGCCAGAGCGGCGCCGAGGCGGCAGCAGAGGCTGAGGAGCGGGGCCGGGGCCAGCGGACTGGCGGCGGTCTGAGCGAGCGGCGGCGACCCGAGGGGTCAGTACCCGTGGGGCAGCTCGCACGCTCGGGAGG